ACTGAAAAGTCTTACCTATAGATCCTCAAGTAATTACACACTGAGAAAGCTCACGCAGAGCAGATTTTCAGCAAAGGGAGGCCACTGTAGGAACAAAAGCCTTTTACAGCTGAAATCAGGCATGTATTACAGGTTTGTGTTTTCATAGGGCTGCATTAAGAAGTGAGCCCTGAGACTAGCACAAAATGAGAGCAAGGGGATTTTCCCTGTGATAAATCTGAGGACATATAAAGGCATTTCCAGGACCATCACTACGATGAAAGCCAGGTACAGGTTTTCCCTTCACAACTGTCTGATTAAGCAATCTTTTCGATGACCTGTGATGGCACACATACGCACACATGCATATGGTAGGTGTTACAAAAAATATCACCTTTCTACACTTGTTCAGTTTGGAATTTCTTTTTTTTTTTTAAATGATCTCATCACCTTTATCTTCTCATCCCCCACCAGCACAGAAATAAAAACAAGAACAACCAAGTTGCTGCTTGCAGGAGTAGCATCTGCTGCACTCCTGCTTCTGGGATTTGGACAGTGGATTTGCATGGGAGGTTCCCAGTCTCCACAGTGATGGACCACTGTGTCATGATGGTCTGGGTAAAAAGAATGCTCAGACCTTTTTTCTGAAACCTGTCTTTCAAACACAGAAGAAATGGGGCTTTTTAATGCATTTTCAGGAGGAATGTTATCTTGGTGTCTTGATTATTTCCAGCTACATCAGTAATTCCCACTCTGCAACATAGTAAAAACGGCAAAAGCAGGATCAACATTCTCCTCTTCGCCAGTGGAAACTATTTCCCCCCTTTCCTTCCCCCTGTCCAAAGTCTCTCTGAAAACCCAACTGGATAAGTGAATCAGCCCTCACCCCTTCACAAAATGGAAAAAGACCACATTTATATGCTTTATCCTCTTTTAAAAAGATTTATATACATTTTATAAACATTTATACATGTTTATACTCTTTTAGGAGGGAGGGCAAACAGAACTTTGCAGAGCCTTTGCATCAAACTCAAACAAACTTAACCCCTCTGCTCAACTTCAATCAATTCAGCTGGTAGGCTGCACATTCACTGATATTTTGGGAAGATCGCCGCATATTGTGGTTCCCAAAGAAATCTAGCTCCCCACAATAGCTACAGCTAAATTGATCTACTCTGCTTCAGAGTTAGCTGCTGGTTACTGACAAATAGCTACACATAATTGAGTTATATAGAAATATATTTTATACGCGTTAAATCCCTACCAAAATGCAACTACAATTTTAATACAGAAGACTGAGCCATGGCAACTCTGTGATGCACCTCATGTGAGCAACACATGTGAGCATAGTCACGAGGTATTATGAAGGCACTGGTTTAGTTCTTACCTGTGATGCTTATACACAATGATATATTAATCAGGTTACAATTTCATTGATATCCCAGGAGCTACAGCTACTTTTGCTGGGTTTCCTATAGTTTAGGATTTTTTTCAAGTAATTAAATATCACAGACTGCTTTTTGGTGGATTTTAAAGTACCTCTTTGACAAAGTCACTCAGTTGCTGCATCCTAACCATTATCAAATAAAATCCTAACCTAGACCCTGTTAGTTTAGCTAAAAATAATGCAGCATCAACTCTTCCTACTTAGAAAGCACACAGTAGCACATAATGGGGGGATTAGGATGAACATGAGGTGCTCAACATAAAAAAGCTGAAAGGTCTAAAACTACCTGCAGGTGGACTTAATAAGACATCCTTGAGTTATGGCCTGCCCCAAGGACAAGAACTAGCATGCAGCCAATTTGAGCGTAGTTAACAGAACACCTTTTATTTTAAAATACTTTTTGAACTTAATAAAGCAATTTTAATTAGATTGTTTAGTCAAAAGTATAGAGAAAGCCAGAAGGAATATTGCTATCCTGAACACAAACCCTTCCTAGAAACTGAGAGGGGCAGGTGTTTTGAAATGGTAGAACACATGAATTTGTTCTGTACTTGTGCTTATACAGACCACTGTCTTCTCCTGAATCACCTAGCAGATGCTCTGAATGCTTATGATCATATCGTCCTTTGGAAGCTAAAACCTCATGTAGACTTAGGATAGGATTTTCAAAGGATTGAAGCCCTAACTCTGTTTAGGATCTTTTCCATAAACCCTAATCCTAATTGCTTGATGTGACATTTCACTGGTTACTGTATCTTTACTATTTTTAAAATATAAAGGCAGCAGAGCTGAGGTTTGGGTTCGTCTAATAGAACTCAGAATAAAAATATGGCATCTGGTCACAAAGATTTTGCTCTCAAAAGTGACTGATGTTTCTGATTTGTCATTGATCGAAGTGCAATTTGTCTTCCTTGGGGAAATAAGACTGACACAGTATTTTCCAACAGGTGTGACTCACTAACTGTTTTCTTCCAATGAACTTTTAGAAGCGAAATTATCATCAGATTTGGCAATGGGTGTACTGGGTTTCCTACACTGCTATTCTTACAGTGCTAATGAGTTGCACTTGTATTGGATCACACTGAACGACCGTGCCACGAGGCTCCCTGTATCCCAAGGGATGCTGTAACTCCTTGGCAGCACATATATTACCTGATGTCAGACAGCACCGTCTCCAATGGCAGCAGCATCCATCAGCTGCCACGAGCTAGGAAAGAAAGCAGCTGTTTCCAAATCTTTTTGAAATGATGTGTAATACACTCAAGCGAACCTCCCTTCCTATCCCCTGGGATGTATTATAAATATTATGAATTTGTATTATTAATACTGTATGAGTGTTAGAATATTTATTGTAAGTGTGGGGCCTTAACATTTGTATGACTCAAGTGCGTCTAGGGAGCCTCTCACTAAGTGCTGATATGCAACTGCTTCTAGATTAGTGTAAATATCACAGGACAAGATTGCACAACAGTTTGAGACAGAAAGTAAAAAATGTCATATTGTCCTACAGGGCTGATGCTGGAAAGCATGCAGATGTATGACAGGCAGCCAAGTGTGAATTTTGACAGGGCATTAGGCAGCCAGTCTAGCAAAAGTGTAATAAGATTGTTAACGAACAAGAGATCAATAGCCTTTTAATTTCTCCACCTGAAGTACTGCAAAACGTTCCCTGTAACATGAGGTTTTCCAGGGAAAGATGTCAACTACTCACTAATCAAAGCTACTTTCTGCAGCAGTGGTGCGCCTCACAAATCGCTCTTTAAGAAACTGTTCCTGATTTACTTGCGAATCAAATTGCACTCGCAGTCCATTGTGGGATTGCTGTAATAGGAGAAAGCAACAAGGGAGGACACCTACTGATATATTACTTTTCTATTTTATTAGCAGGAACTGTGTTAAAGCCAATTAAATTTCGTAGAACAGAGAACAGTTGTACTCTTCTGGAGATTCCTGTGAAGGTTTAAAGCTAAAATTGAGAGTCTCCCACAGAAACTGTTAATTATAATTGTTCTTAATAAAGAGGGAGCACAAATGAAACCAGAATTTGAAACTATTGCTGCTGATTTAGCAGGTCTTTTAATAAAGCTTTGTTTATAAAAACTGTTCTCAAAACTCACTCTAATATTCCAGCAACACCAAACCTGATCATCATAAGCAAGGTTATTTTTTGATTTTCAGTGCACAAAAATGCATGATATTTTTATTTAACTACAAAATTTCTGTCAAAACTTGGTATTTCATATCTCCAGCTAACACATGCATTAAGGGGCTGGAAACGGCCATTGAAATGTATTTTTCTTATTTTGATGCAAAGCACAGACCGTTCTGCTGGACCTTTTGTAATTATTTCTGAAACAGACACACTTTCGACTGTTCACAGTTTTAAGTGTTCAAGAAACTGATCTAACATAGAGAAAGTTTAACCTAAAGTGCTAAATACATAGCTCACACCTTTAGAAAGAACAACCTTTTTGTTTTTATTTTTAATTAAAAAACCCCTTATTATGTTATAAGAATTTTTTTCCCCACAAACAATTAAAAAATTGAAAATGCAATATTTCAAAGGCATTCTTAAGAAAACATGATCAGGTGTTACTCCAGGAAAGAACAGCCATCCATGTAAAGCTGCAAGTGTTTCATGGCTGACTCAAAATATGCACAGAAGAAGGAAAAGCCAGACCACCCCACTATATAATCACCAAGCTGCCTGCAGTGTCAACAGCTGCAAAATTTTTCTTTCTGACCTCAGTGAGCCCCAGCTTTTCACCTTTTGGGAGCTGCCGCCCACCTTCTCACACGTACCGTGTCAGCACTTCAAACAAACTTTCCTTTAGTTTCAAGAGTCAGTCCAAAAAAACCTCTCATTCTAAAAATTCTGCAGGAATTTGCATCTACCACCATCACAGACTCCCGCTCTCCCCACGTTTATCTCCCAGTTTGTTCTGACCATTTTGGATCACCAGGCATCTTTCTGCCCTCTGACACAAGTTCTACGACCTTGCCCTGGAGACTCTCAGCCCAGACCTAACAGCCACATCGGTGTCCTCTTCGGATTTCGGCCACCTAGACCTACCCCGCTCTGCTTTGCCTTGGCTTCCCATCTCTTCCCTCTGCAGACTTTTTGCTTCCTTCATATATATTTATTTTATATGTGTGTATAAGAATAGATAGATATCTTAAAAATTCTGATTTTATCTTTTTTCTCCGGAAAAAGATGTTCATACCATTAAATGTGTTCAGGACAACATTCTGATGCAACACCCAGTTCAAGCCTAATTATATGAATGGTGTTGTGTGAAGGTGTAGTTCCCCCTTTCTGCTCTGTCATAATCTTATTTCCCCTACACAAAGTGTTCACACTGTAGTAGTCTGAGTGTACTACGTAGTAGTATGAGCTCCCCAGCTGCCACCTTCTGGGAGAATATGTGTAACAACCCACTTTAAAAATGGGTTTTATTTATTCATGCATTTGGCACTTTAAAGCCGTGATATATAATTTAATACAAAAATATAAAATCAATAATAATTTAGTTCCAAATATAAAGCAAGTCGAGCACAGATCAATTTTCATAACATGCATATAATAATTTAAACACCAACTGATGCCTGATGAAAAACTGAGAGAAACATTTTGCTGGTTTCTGACTTTGGGAAATAGGTGAATTCTGAGATAAGGATTCTGCATACAGTAAAACAGAGCCTTCACTCTAGAGCCCTCTTCCTCCTCCAACACTACTCTGTTATGATCGTCGTACAAGAAGCACTGGATTAGGACTTCACAAAGAACAATTATACTCTAGCATGTCACACAAGATCAGCAATTTTCAGTCCCAGAAACTTTCATAGAGCTATGGTCCTGAAGTTAAGTAATCTCAAAAATGCAGGATTAGGTGGACCATATAAACCTTGCCAATTAGGATAGCCAATGCTATGGAAATGACAATATGGGTCTGTCTTTTCAAGCGTTGCCAAGACTTGGTAACTGTAGGCCTTGCACTGTTGAGTATGAATCAATAAAACGGAAAAGTCTGGGCTACTTTCTGGACAAACGGGACCCATCTTCATGGGTTTCTCAGTCTGTTCTTGTAAAAGAAATAATCCCAGTACTAAATATGTATACATTCCATCACACTTGAGAAAGCCTAGTGTAATGTTAAGTTCAGAGTCAGCTCCAGTGTGGACCACCTGGTTCTCAAAGACAAGACATCAACCTCTAACTTGCTGTATCTGCTGTTCCTGAACTAGAGTCCAGGACTTCAAAGCCCTGTGACATCCCTGTGCCCTTGTAGGCTGGAGCCTCCATCACGTAACCATTCACACAAACAGCCCAACCTGGGAGGTGGAACCAGAAGTAAGGTCAACAATACAATATGTGGATAAGCCTGCCCAGAGCTAGCTTGTCCCCTTTTGCTGCAAAAGGAAGACTTTTACACCTCTGAGCTAGGTAGCTTTGACTTACAACTTCATCCTAAAGGTAAACGTGATGGGACACCTGGGCAGCCAGAGCCTTGTGAGGAAAGGGACCACCTTTTCACCGAGACTAGCAGAGATACCAAAAGGTTCTCATTTTTCACAACTAATTTCTATGACAGCACAAAATACTAAACCTGAATGCAATAACTACTCATTATGTAGTGAAAACCCAGCAATGATGAAACTAAGATTTTTGGAAAGGGTGACTTTCAGTGCCTTACTGGGTCAAACCAACCCTGACACGCACCTCTGGACACACAGGAAAGTCTCTATACGCTGACTGCTCCTGCGGTGGGCAGGCCTCCTGCTCTTCCCAAGCATCTCTCCTTCTCTACCCTTGCAGCGTAGGCTCCTATTTGCAGTCCCTCACCCCTGGATGCTTCACCCAAAGGCTTTCTGAGGTTTGGTGTCCTCAGTTCTGCCAGGGGAAAGGGAAATAGCCCTCTTCCTTGGAGAGATTAGAGCCAAGAAGAAGCCCTCTGGCTTGCAATTCAGCTCTTTTTTGTAAAGCATACAACACAACATGTGTAGCCTGTAAACAAATAAACTAGTTAATTATATCTTTGCTACAGTGAGACAAACTTCAGATCCATTCTTTAGAACAGTATTTCAATTTTGAGCTAATATAAGAAAGGATTGGATAAGTGACAGCTAACTAAAGTCAACAGCTGAATCAGACATTATGATATACAATTAATCAGACATTCTGATAAAGAGTCTTCCATTTCAGACCAAACTGACAAACTCAGGTAAAGGAAAGGCAAGCTTTTGCATAAATGAAGTCTTTGCTGGAAAACAGCGTTCCCCCATGGAGGAGCGTAAGCTGCATGAAATGGAGCAGCCTACGCTCCTCTTCTCCCACTGTTTCCCGAAGCTTTGCGTGCGACTCCCCATACTTTAATTAAGAAACTGGCAAAACTCCCAATACCCTCAAATCCATGATATTCATCTTTCCCTAGTAAACTGTGTTTTGGTTTAATTCGGAGACTAAAACATAATCAACAGTAGTAGTCATTTCTCTATTGCATTTTTAATTTTGATCTTATTTAAGATTAGAAACTGGAACACCTTTTTAAACTGAGAATTTCAATAGGGAAATGTCACTTCTGCAGCGATATCTAGTGACATAGATGTTTCTTTACATAGACTTGTATTTATAGAGCAAAAATGAATATCTCAGTAATACATAGCTGTCCTAAAGAGGCAGCTCAGCAAATTATTTTGTTAGTGCTGACAATTTACAAGTTCTTCATATTAACAGATGAAATTGTGTGGGATTGTGTGAAAGCATTTTTAGGATCTATTCTGCTTATCTGCTTAATGGAACTCACTTTTATATATTTCCTGTCATCTACAAGATCTCAAAGACCCTCACAAACTTAAACTAATATGCAAACTAGAGAGACAAACACTAATTCCTCACAGAAAGTCAGCGTTGTTTTAACAACGCACAACACTAAGTATGAAATCGTCTTGTTGTTTCGTACCTACTTCTGCAAAAGGTAATAAACTACTGATGAACAGAAAAAGATGAATTTGCTAGAGCACAAAGCAAGCATTTAAGAAAGTCTGTTGAAAAATATGAAATAAATTGAGACATCAATACAAGCAAAAATAAAATAATCCAGTCATTGATGCCTAACCAGAATTTACATCCCCTTATAAGAGGCATATTCTTCTGACTTAGACAGAAAATAGACAAAACGTCACCCTTTTGTGGGATGTACATGGAGGCTGTATTCTCCCACTGAGACTGCGATACCCCAGCCTATGCCCGTAACGAGTAGCACTTGGGAGAAGAGTGACAGCCCTATAGATCTTTCCAAAGTGAAGACAGCTGTGGCCAGAGAGGGTGAATCGAAGCAAAGCCTGGGCTGGCAGAGAGATATGGCTTATTTTTCTCTTTCAAAGACCAAAATGGGGATTGACCTTTCCTGGGGTTTACGAACAAAAGACAGTCCAGGACATAGGTTTGTACCTGAAACCTTGTTCCTCACAGTCTGTAGGCTGCAGGTTCCCAGACCCAGTTTGTATCTTGCTTGTTTTGGAATTATTTCTGAACTACATAATTCTTTTCTCTAAATTTAAACAGATCTGCAGTCTTTATTGCGAGTACATTTAGATTGGGGTTTTTTTTTCAGTAGAAGCATCAATTTCATAGAGGGTGAGTATTTGTTACAGCAAGCTAGATAATTTGTGGTAACACTTGCATATTTTAACCATTTCCATCCTGAAATAATTATTTAGAAATATATTTTATTCTTTATCAGCTTTGTTATTTTCAACTACATTCAACAATATTAAAATCAGAGGTTTTCAATGTTCCTTGCACTTTTGCAAAATTCAAATGTCGGAAAAGAAAGAAAAAGAAAACTCACAAAACTGTGTTTTAAATGTATCAAATCCATACCAATCACATTGAAGGTATTTGATTAATGCCATAATCATTCTCAGAACATTTACATTTCACTTAAAGTGCGCCGCACAGAATTTAAACATTTAAATGCAGAGCCAATATTGTCATATAATTTCACTTCCTGAGCATCAGTATGATATTTTCCACCTCTAAATAATAAAAATTAATCCAGTAGCAGTCTGTTTATAAATAAGCATGAATCTCTGGAAGCACTGAATGTTGAGCTACTGCTACAGGCAGTGGATATATTTTCATTCACAACACTAGGGGCCTGACCCAGACCCTTGATGAGTATCATAATTCCCTGTGTACACAAAACAAAACAGAAGAAAGAGAGTTAGTGACTGGAATCAAGCTCTGTGTCAGGGGTTGTCTTAGGAAAATATATTTCCCAGTTCCTTGTTCTCTTTTTGGGTGTTCAAGCCACACCTCTCTTTTCTTCTTCCTTTTATCTCCCTCCTGAACTGTATTTCAGAATCAGAAATATTTTCCTTAGTCTATTAAAAAATGAGTTGTCTCTCACTCTCCCACAGCTACAAAATCCACATTTGACCTTCACACTGCATTTCAGTATAGCATTGTTTCATTTTTCACACATAATCTGATTTCATTATCCAGGTCAGAATTACTCATAATAAAAAGTTGAACTAATAACAAGGGGCACCACTGATGCCTCTTGTCTCCCCATTAAAGGACTAGACTTCAGTTTATTATAAATGGAACCACAAAAAAATACACATGCATAGGAATCATCACAGATTTAAGCTTTTTGTTTTTTTTTTTCTTTGTATTCTTATTTTCTGAATAGAAAGTAATCAAGTTGGTTTATTTAGTTTTATTTAGATTGGAAAGACTATCATTAATCTGTTTTGGTAGGATGTTCCGCTCACAATACAACAGCAGCAGCACATTTTTTAATGCACAACTCTGCATGAAAACAGAACACAAATCTCCAGCTCTCCACCCACTGTGCAGTGGAATCTGTGGGTGACCATATGCAGTCAGAAAAGCACATTTGCAGCCTGTAACAAAACAAATGTTATGATGGAGAAGAGAGGAAAAAAGGAAGCAATTTTTAGACAGGGTTTAAACCATCATTTACCCTAGCAGGAGGATGTGACTGACTTGCCACTTTAAGGCTTTATTGATTAACGAGATTTGAGGATACAGCATAGTAAGAAAAGTTTTAAAAAAAGAAAACAAACCTTCAAAAGATGGTACACAGCTATTCAAAGTTGCTCATATTTACTTTGGGATTGAAATGAAGCCTTTGAGCACCAGGAATCCATTCCAGAGGGGATGAATGATGTATTTTGATTTTTAGACTTGCTATTGTACTTTTAAAGCATCTTTTGGCAACAATGCAAGTTTTTATTAGTTTAAAGTTGAAATGACTTGCTTATCTGTGGTTGAACAGACCAAAGCAGAGGAGCCAGTGTTCCTATATGCTACTGTGGGAAATGGGATGCTTACTGTTTTGAAAATACAAACCAAGGCTCCAGATCTGCAACTGACTCCAAGCATGGAGCCAGCGTACATTGCAAAGTCAGTCATGTGATCAGAGGTTATGTATTATTTAAAATATATGGGGTTTATTACCCTGAAAATAAAAAATAATTGTAAATGTATCTAAATTGTAAATTTCTTTCACATGTAAACCCTGACCTTTGTTGGATCCAGTGTATATCTGTGTCTGAGAGAAGGTTTGATTAGCAAATCTGGGACCTC